GGTGGGGGGCGGTTGCACGGTGAGAGGAGGGCGCAGGGCCGAGGGAGCGAGGTGTGTGGCTTGGGGCCAAGAGGGAGGAAGGGGTTGCGAGGTCATGTGGGCGAGGGTGCTGTGGGGTGGGTGCCGGGCGCCGAGGGCAGCCCTGCCGCGACCAGCAGCAGCGCGGGTGCCTGCTGTGCAGGTGCAAAAGAAAACTTTGCAAGGCAACCCCCACGTGGACCACATCCACCACAGGTACACCCTGCGATGCATGCACGCCCCCACGACTTCCAAAAGCGCACCTACACGCACACACTTGCACGCACACGCACATGAACAAACACACTCACACAGACGCGTCACCGCACACGCAGTCAATGCACACACTCGCGCATGCATGATGCCCGCATGCACAGACCACCCCCCCTCCCATGCACCCCCCACCCGTGCCCCCCACCTGGAAGTCCACGAACTGGCCGCCCTCCACCTGCAGGATCCGCGTCGCGATCTGCCGAAGGAAGTACCTGTCGTGTGAGACCGCGATGACCGCGCCCTCGAAGCACCGCACGGCCTCCTCCAGCGTCTCCTTGGAGGGGATGTCCAGGTGGTTGGTGGGCTCGTCCAGGATGAGCAGCGTGCCCTTGGTGCACATGAACTTGGCCAGGGCCAGGCGCGCCTTCTCGCCGCCGGACAGCACCTTGACCTGGGGCCATGGCGCGGTGGGTCGGGGGGTTGGTTGGTTGGCCGGTTGGGTGGCTGGTGTGTTGGTTGGTTGGGTGGTCAGCTGGTTGGTTGATTGGTTGATTGGTTGGTTGGCAGGCGTATGGGTGAGCGGGTGGGTAGGCTGAGGGATCGTTGCCGGGCAAGGGGGGCCTATGCTACTAGGGGCCAGCGGTGGGATTGTGTGGTGGTGGGCGAGCCGGATCGCAGGGGTGCTGGGGCGCACCTTTTTGTCCATGGCGGTGCCGCTGAACATCATGCGGCCCAGCAGCTGCTTCAGCTCGTTGAGCTGCGCGGGAGGACGACGGCCGGGGCAGGGAGGGGCGGGGCACAGGGAAGGGGGAGCGTCAGGGGGTTTCAGGCGCAACGCGGGTGTGTCGAGGGGGAGGGAGGGCCCGCAGGCAGTGGCGCCCATCACACAGCCGTACAGAAACGCTGAAGCCATCAGGCCTGCTCGAACCGCATTGCCAATGCGAGATTCCTCGCGTCCACACAGCATGCCATGGCACGTTCACGCGCGCGCACAAACACACACACACACACCCTCACACTCTCACACCTACCAACTCACACACACACACACACACACACACACACACACACACACACTCACACCACACACACAAACACAAACATACACAGAGACGCAAAGATACACACACCCATACATACACACACACGCGCGCGCACGCGCGCAAAACGCTGGCACCTTCAAACACCCAACAGCACCCACTCACCCCAACACACTCCACGCCTCCCGCACCAGGCGCCCCCCCCCCCCAAAAAAAAACACACCGCGCCCGCACCTGTGCGTCTGGCGCCGACCTCACGAGCGTCTCCATCACCGTCAGCTCCAGGTCCAGGGCTTCTGCCTGGTTCTGCTCAAAGTAGTTAGGCACGATGTTGTGCTCCCCCAGGGACACCCGGCCCGCCATGGGCTTCTCCCGCCCCATGATCAGCCGCAGCAGCGTGGACTTGCCGGCGCTGCGGGCGAGGGGGGTGTGAGGGGGCGCGCGGGAGGTTTTTAATGTGGGGTGGCATGGGTTGATGGAGATAGGTAGGTGGGCAGGCTGGGTTCACGCAGGGGTGCGGCAGGTCGGGGTTGACGTTGCTGCTCGCTGCGGGGCGGCTGTCGCCCCCTCGCAACACTTGGGGGGGAGGGTGCCCGGCCGCGCGGGCCGCAGGAGCCAGCAGGGCGGCGCACCCGTTGGGCCCGATGATGGCGACGCGGTCGCCCCTCTCGATCTCCAGGTTAGCGTTCTTGAACAGCAGGCGGCCGCCATAGCCGTGAGTCATGTTCTGCGGTGCGGGGGTGGCGGCGACGCGACCCGGCCTCAACCGACATGAAAGAGGCGTTCATACACACAGTCGTACTTGGCGCAACGCACACACGCGCGCTTCGACACTACAGCACCAAAACACACACGCCACACAACAATTCAAAACAGACGATGCGCAAGGATTCGGCGATCAGCGCGTGCACGCACCTGCACGGATGCCACGCTCTGGCCCATCTTCTCGACAGGCGGGAAGGCGAATGAGCGGCGCTTGGGCACAAACGGCTTTTCAATGAGCCCCTCCGCCTTGATGCGCTCGATGG